ACTAAGCCTGACTGTTGGGATAATCTTTTTGTACACTGTGTGAAGGTGTGTCTGTCCTTCCCCACCTGCCTAAGGTACCTTCTGATTGGTTTAATAAAGAGCTGACTGCTAGGCAGGGATAAGCAGGACTTCCAACTAGAGACAGGAACTATGCGAAGAATTTAGAGGAGCAAGACCCGGCAGACACAGAAGAAGTCAGATGTACCAAAACTGAGGAGAGGTAACAGGCCACATGGCAAACATGAACCAATCAGGATAGACAGGGTTAATTAAGTCATACAAGCTAGCTGGGAACAAGCCTAAGCTATACGGCCCAAACTTAAATAAATAATAACAGGTCTCTGTGTCATTTTTCAGAAGCTGGCAGGTCTGAGACAGTCCGGCAATACCTGACAACCTGAATTCAATCCCTGGGGCCCACAAAGTGGGAGGAGAGAGAACCAACTCCTGCAACTTGTCCTCCTAGTTGGATATATGCACCACAGCCTATGTGTGCCCAGGAGTTCACCATCTCCACTGAAACACAGAGACCTTATTGCCATCATTAGGAGTTTAGTGATGGGGAGTCAGCGCTGAGGGAGTTCAGTTTCAGCTGGGGGAGATACGAGAGTTTCAGACATGGATGGTGTGATAGTTACGCCACAATGCGAATATTTTGCCTACTTAACCCCCAGGGGAAAAGAAGAGGGTAGTGAAAACCACATTCCTGTTATTTTTATTTCAGATTTATTATTTCACATGAGTGTTTTGCTTGAATGTATGTATGTGCACCTCATGTGTCTGGTGCCCTCAGAGGTCCAAAGAAGGCAGCTCCTCTGGGACTGTAGTTACAGGCAGTTGTGAGAAACCATGTGGTTGCTGGGACTCCAACCCAGACCCTCTACAAAAGCAACAAACGCTCCTGATGGCTGAGCCAGATCTCCAGGCCAAATCAACAGAATTTTTAAAATACTTTTACATTCCTTATGCATGCTCCTCATCTCTCTTCTAATACACAAGTCTGGAAACACACTGCTCATAACACATATGGTAGAACATTACTATAAACCAGGATCACAGTTACAAAACAAATCAGCTCCTACTTACTAGTTTCAACTGCCTTTAGAAAAGTAGTGTAGGCATGGCACGGTGGCACACACCTTTCACCCCAGCACTCAGCAAGCAGAGGCAGGAAGATCTCAGTGACTTCGAAGTAAGCTGGTCTACATAGTGAGCTCCAGGACAGCCGGGGCTATAGAGAGAGATTCTGTCTCCAAGAAAGGAAAAAAGTAATAATAAAACAAGGGTTTCTAACCTCAGCTGGCTTTTCCAATAGAGACAAAGAATTATTTAGTTATCAGTGGATTCTCTCAGAGCTATGACTAAAGTATACTCTTGGAAGGGTTCAGCAGCCAACAAGCTGCATTCTTCATCTAGCAGGGCATCCCTGGGTAGTACAGAAGATCAAATAGATGTAAGAACAACCAATACTTTGTTTGAATCCTGGAACGGTGGTCTTGTTTGTAATCTTAGCACTCAGAAAGCTGAGGTGGGAGAATCATGAGTTCAAGACCAGCCTGAGCTGCAACTGACACCATCTCCCTAACAATAACCAAAAAAAAAAAAAAATTGTTTCCTCAGCACGTTCCTTGTCTGAAATATAGTCTTTTATGATCTGTCATACAATCAGAGGAAGCAAAGAAAAGGAATATGACCAATATCAGACACCCTATTAGAAAAATAGGTCGATCAGAAGCTCGCAGGATAGTTCAGTGGGTACAAATGAGATCATCCGAGCTCAATTCCCATGACTCACCAAGGAGGAGATAACCAATTCCCATGGGTTGTTCCCTGAACTCCCCATATGTTCCCTCACATATACACAAATGCAAACACAACAAAATAGGTAAATATACAAATAAATTCCCGTGGTTTGTTTAAACTTGAAAGAGAGAAAGAAAAAGTAAGGGATGTAACTCATTGTGTAGAATGCTTGCCTTACTTGCAGAAAGCCCTGGGTTCAACCCCCAGCACCAGAGAAAACGGATGTGGGGACAAAACTCTATACTCTCAGCCTTCCAGAGATAAAGAGAATCGGCTTGGGAATGAAACACAGTCTAAAAAAGTAAAAACCTCAACCAACTTAGTGCCTTCAAGAAAGTTGAGAGCACTTTATATTAACACACCCAAAAGTTTTTCAGAATTTTCTCGAATTGCCTGGATCTGAAGGACATTTGTTTATAAAGCAGCTTTTCTGTTGGTTTATGTATTTTTTGGAAACAGGGTTTCCTTTCATAGCCCTGACTGTCCTGGCACTCTATAGATCAGGCTGGCCTTCAAGCACAGGGATCCACCTTCCTCTACCTCCCAAGTGCTCAGATTTTTTAAAAGCATGGGCCACCACACCTGGCTAATGCAGCATCTTCAATGACTCTACAGATACCTCCCCCATCTCTGGTTTTTTGTTTTGGTTTCGGAGACAGGATTTCTCTGTGTAACAACCCTGGCTGTCCTGGCACTTGCTTTGTAGAGCAGGCTGGCTTTCAAAAACAGGGATCCACCTGCCTCTGCTAGGATTAAAGGGGTGTGCCACCACCACTGGCCAGATTCTTTTTGTTTTGAGTCAGGACTTCTCTGTGTAGCCTTGGCTGTCCTGGAACTCACTCTGTAGACCAGGCTGGCCTCGAACTCAGAGATCTGCCTGCCTCTGCCTCTGAGTTCTGGGCCACCACCTAACGTCTCCAATTCTTATTCCAACTACTGAATTAGGCCCAGGAATCTGTATTCTAACTCTCCACACCATTCATTTATGTGAGAATGTGTGAGCTGCACATGGGTGTAGCTCCTCAGATACCTTCTACTTCTTGAGCCAGTGTATCTTGTTGGCCTGGAACTTTGGCAAGTAGGCTAGGCTAACTAGCCAGTGAACTTCCAGGGATCTGTCTGCATCTCCCACATGGCTATCACTGTATTACAGGCACATGCCACTGTAACCACCTTTTTAAAGCTGGGTTCCGGTAATTTGAACTTCTGAAGCAAGCAATTTCCTAACCAAGCCATTCCCTAACCCTGTAGGTAATTTTTATATTCAGTACTTGGTAGTCACAACTTTTCCTCTCAAGACAGCCTTGAATACAAAGAAACTCCTGTTTGTGTTTAGATTAAAGCAATGAAAAAGCAAACAAACAGTAAGACAGACAATTCCGTGAAACAATAGCGAGGCAAGAGCACAAAGGCTGAAATTCCTAAACTGCATTTCCATCCCACCAGAGCAGCCACTTGTCACTGGGCACCATTTTTCTGGTCAGTGAAACAGACTACCACCGCATACCTCACAGGCGCTCTGAAGGCTGAACTGTGCTGGACCCACACATAACTAATCCATGACAACACTGCAATTTCGTGACCACTGGCCACAAACAGCCCTCTACATCTGGCTAGTGGACAGATAAACCTCCAATATTGGCACTCATGTCAGATAATGTAATACACACCCACAAAAGAACTAATGCTTTTGTGTTGCTTAAAAATCAGGTACTTAGAAGCCAGTAGTGGTGGTGCATGACTTTAATCCCAGCACTTGGGGACGCAGGGGCAGGTGGATCTCTATGAGTTCGAGGCCAGCCTGGTCTACAGAGTGAGTCTAGGACAGCCAAGGCTACACAGAGAAACCCTGCCTAAAACAAAACAAAAACTAAATAAACAGAAATTAAAAACAAAAACCAAACAAACAAAAAACCCAAGTGCTTGGACTAGAGATATTAATATATACTATATATATATATAATATACAAAGTTCAGAACATTTACTAGCATGTACAAAGCCCTGTGTTCAAACCAACTACTGGAAGGAAAAAAAAAAAAGCCTACCAGGAGACTTGTAGTGGCACATCTGTGATCCCAGCACTAAGGAGGCTGAAGCAGGACCACTGCCCTCAGCATGAAGCAAACTGGGCTATACAGCAATTCTGGTATTGAATAAAAAAACAAGCAGGCACACCAAGGTTCGTGAGAAGGCTCAGCAAGTGGCTACCCTCAAGCCCGACAACCGGGGTTCCGTCCCCAGGACTAGGGAAAAGTCCTGGGGACTGCCCTGACCCTCACCTGCAGGCGTGCCACAGAGAAATGTAAGAAAACTTAAATCAAGTAAACAACTCTACCACAGGAAAAGCTAGGGCAGGGTCTTAAACTTCAAATCCTTCTGCCCCCACCTCCCAAGGGGCTGGTAATACCAAATCTCTTGCAAGTTGCTTAAACACAAAACGCCCAAACTTTCCATGGCAAACAACGCCTTTCAATCAAGGCGTTTTATGATAACCCATAAAAGCAACAGGGTGGTTAGGCTAGGCATAGACGATCCAACACAGACCGCACACATCAAGCCACTTTGCACAACACTTACAGCCTACATTAAGCATTTACTTTCCTCATATTGTAATCCGACAATCAACCCTTCACCACATGCAAAACCCAGCTCCGCTGTAAAATTCTTACAGTAGCAGGCCAACTGGCACTTTCAACAGTAGTAATGGCCGCTACACAACAGCCCTTCAGGCCTTAAAAGGGGAGAAAACACACAAAGAGAAAAAAAAGTAACTCCCTAGGCCAAAGTGAGGAACAGGTCGACTCCACTCCAAAGAAAAGGCCTTAATGCCCAGAATGCTAGGGTGGAAACAGGAATTCTCGTGGACAAGCGGAAGGAAAATGGGGGAAACCTCTGGGTGCGAGATGACCTGAATTCTCTCAGAAAGAAAAGCGAGCGAGGCTCAGAGTCGAATTTTAGGCCCCGGCGCTTCAGGGGGGACATCTTCCAGTAACCTCGAAATGGCCAAGAAAAGGCTTGATCTGTGACCACGATTGGGGACTCAGGGGCCTGGAAGAGGAGACGCCTTCTCGAGAACAGAAAAAGAGGGGTTCTCGGGAAAAGAACGGCCCAGGAGGCGGGCAGGGAGGAAGTGGCGGGGAGCCCACGCGCGGGAACCGCTCGCGACGAACAACGACGGCCGCGCCGGGGCACTTACGCGGCCGCCTCTTCCGGAGGCCCTCGCCGCGCGGGCGGGCGGCCGAGGCGGAGCCGCCGAGGGAGCCCGGCCGCTCCCGTCTCACGCCCTCCTCCGCCCCGGACCCCGGCGGCGCCGCGCTACTCGCCCGGCGCCTGAGCGGCTCCCGCCTCCGCGCTTCGGGGTCCGCAGACGTCGACTCGCCGGCCGCAGCTGAGGTGGCGGCAGCCTTGCCCTGGCGCTCCATAGGCGCGCCGACCCGGCCCGCTCCCATCCGCAGCAGCCGCAGCTGCCGCCCGAGCCAGGCCCCCAGCGCCGCCTTGCCGCCTCCGCGCAGCCCGCTGAGCGCAGGCGCACGGGGCTGCCGCCTCTTCCGTTGCGCCAACGTGCAGCGAACCAATCCGAGCTGGCTGGGGGCGGGCGCTAGGGCTGTCGTCCAATCGACTCCCCGACTCGAGCCGAAGGGACCGCGCCGCCACCCAATGACAGGCATTCAGGACGGCTGAGCGGAGCAGGCTGGGCCTGGCCTGCCTGCGTGCGAATGGCGGAGGGGTCCAGGGGACTCGGGTGAGGAGCGCCTCCTTTCGAGCATCCACGGGAGGGATGGCCAGCCCCTTCCCTTCTCGCTAGAACTCGCCCGGGAGATCACCTAGTCTCCCCTCGCTGCCGGCTGCTCAGGAATCGCGCCTCCCCCCGCCCTACCGAGCCCCTGTAGCCAGTGTTAGCGGTGCTGGCCGCGACTAACCTTAGCCTTTGTCCCTGCGTCTGGTTCTATAGCTGCTGTAGGGGCCGCACAACCGTCCGCATTGTACATGGAAACCATCTTTTGTCTTCCTTTGTGTTTGGGCTAAGACCCTTCATTCCCTGTACCAGAAGGAATGAAAAGACTGGTCTCCATGGCAACTGGCGGGAGGAGGTGGATTCTAAATCCTTCACCTACCTCCTGTCTGAAGGAGGCGTTGTGAAGGCCTCGCAGTTGGGTTGGTTTTTTTGTTTGTTTGTTTTTTGTTTTTAATGTGTTTGAGCATTTTTTTTCTGCACGTATGTCTTTGCCGCAGGAGCGTGCCTGATGGCTCGCTGAAGGATTCGACATAGATCCAAGAAAACAAACCCTGCTTCTCTGCGAGAACAGCAAGTGCTCTTAATCGCCGAACCATAGCTCCAGCCCCCAGGGTTGGCTTTTTGCAGAAGACAGGGATCTCCTTTTTTGTGGTATGTTGGAAACAGAAAAATAAATAAATAAATTAGTGACTGGATTTCTTTTTAATTGTCACTTTTAACAGCCCTAAGTTCCTCTCATATGCCAGGGGTCTTTTCCAATATCCTGCACAGTCAAAGGCTGCCCTGACTCTGGATATCCCACTCATCTGTACGCATAAAATAATCCCTCAGTCCCTCAGTTTTAAGTGACTGAGGCTTTCTCACTATTTCCCAAGTTCCTTTCCTGGGAGGCCATAATGTCCCCCGAATGATAGCCCTTTTAGCTTATCTTCACTCCATCATTAACAGTACCAGGCTGAGCTTTTGTGTCCGCTGAATAATACTCCTATAGTCACTCCAATCTCGTGCTCCACAATGTAGCATTAACTCTGGAGACCTTATTTCTTAATGTGAAATCCCAGCTCCTGCAGGAAACCACCCCGTCTTGTTCTAACAAGAACCAAGGATACCCATAGCAGAGCTGGAGAGACCAGTCAACAATTAGGAGCACTGGCTGCTCTTCAGAAGACCAGGATTTAATTCCCAGCCCCCACATGGCTCACAACCTCTAGCTTCAGGAGACTTTACTCTCTGTCTCTGGGGGCCCCCTGGAGTACCAAGCACTCACATGATCATAGTGAGATGCATACTGCCAAATACATGCTGTCTCTGTCCCATGTGTAACAACTATACCAACCCAGAGCACTGGGCTAGGGCCTGAGAAGAGTTCCTTCTAGACTTATGGCTGAAATCTTCAGACATCATTGGAATTCTGAATTATGTACAGTCAATAGACAGATGAGACAAAGTGGGAGCCATCAAAGTCATACTGCTGAACATAGCATGCCCCCTTCCACATTTGGGCTTATCCAGCTAGTGTTCGCTGGATCTACAGGCCTAAAGGGCTTGCTCTAAGTATTGCAGCTCTGAAGGGAAGGGTTTCCTGGCAGTCTCCCATTGTCCAATAAACATCATACAATAGATTTATCGGGAGGGAAAACCCATGAGGGTGGCTGCCTCTTCTCAGGTGAGAAACAGCAGGAAACTGAGCAGTCACAGGCATTATATAGGTTTTCTCGGGAGAAGGAGAGCTTTCTAGGGTAGAGTTTTCCAGGGTGAGAATTGGTGGGATTTCAGGTCCTAAGCTTGGGGGAGCTCAGAGATGGGTGGGGTTTTTTTCTTGTAGGATGGGCCTAGCTACTCTCCTGCCTCAGGGCTGGGAATGACTGTTAACAGCATTAGAAGATGACTGGGCCCTTAGGGAGGTCTGGGACAGAGCCTGGCCACTTGCCTGCCTTGAGGGTTTACAAAGTTTACAAAGTGAGTCTAAGCTGGGAAGGCTTTCCCTGCCGCTAGAGTTGGTGGTGAATAGCCAATACTGCCCCCTTTTTTGTTTACTAGTGATAAAAGTCGGGTCAGAAAGTGGGGCAACATTATCATTAGACTACTTCCTGCTGATTAGGAGCATTCAGTTCCTTGGGCAAGTTTGATCTTCACCCAACAGGATATAATCAGGTGGTGTAGGCCTCTGCCTTCATAGCTCTAAGGGCAAGGAATCCTGCAGTAACTGATTAAAAGTCAGTTAGAAATCTTTTGAATCTGTTATTGAAGAAATGTAGACAAGTTTATGAGGCAAGTACTAATTAATCAATTAGTAGGATTCTCCATCTTTTGGTGGAGAAGGGTAGTTAAGGTAGTATCCAATTCCGTACTGGATTGTCAGTGATCCACTGGCCAGAGGCATCTAGCTGTTTCTTAGATATTTTTAAAAGATCTGTCTGGAGCTGTCGGATCTTGGTTAGCAGAGAAGCAACATTTCTTCTCAAGGAAGAGACAAAGACCACCTCTCTCTGCTGTTAGTAAATCTAATCCTTGCCAATTTTTAACATTACTGTGGCCAGTAAGTCTGTTTGTCCTTGGAGGGTCAGGATGGTCTGAGCAACCCATTGGAGATCCTGGATAAACAGAGGATCAGTTTATAAACAGTAAATAGCTAGGGAAGTAGTCAGTCCTGCCACTCAGGTGCAACAATTCTGCCATTATTGCTTCTGAAACTTGTTTACCTAAACTTCTGAACGTCTACCCTGGCCAAATGCTGCTTGCAGTGGGGTCTCAACCTGAGAGGGGTCTGGGACCTCTTCCGTTTGCACTCTTATATTCTTTATGGGGTTGGGACATTCTACACAAAGACAAGCTCCTGGATCTCAGTGTGGCAGTCCTGCATGCTGGGTTAGTGCAGGACCATGAATTTCCATCTTGATTTGTCCTCGCTAGGGTTTACACTGTTCCCAGGTTGTAGTTAAGCATCACAGTAAGTGATTTAAAGGAGGTGGGCTGCTCTATCACCGTCACCAAGGCAGCACATGGACAGGAGGGAGGTGGGGTGGGGGAACTAGGTGGCTTCTTCCCTCCACCTGCACTAACCAATCGTCTTTCCTCACCTACTCAGTAAGGAACCTCCCTCTGGCTCCTGGAGCCTGCTACACCTCTGGGCCTCACCACTTGGGCAACTCTTTAGTTATTAAGACACTAGTTCTCCCTCTGTTGGAACCCTCCCCATTTCATTCCTTCTCTCCCTAGAGCTGCCTGCTAAGCCCTGCAGCTTTCTTAAGCCCTTCTGGATCTCTGCGACCTTGTCTTTCAGCTCTGTCCTGAAAGTCTCATAGCTTGTCTAGGCCCACCTGGGCTTCTTTGTCTCTGAGCTCCCACCTGTTGCTTTTAGAAGGAACTCCCTCCAACAGAGTTCCTTGTGACCCTTTCTTTCTTCCTCCACAGTCTCAGATTTTATTAAAACCTCACTCTGTACCAACAGCTTGGCCTCAGTACAGTTCAAATAGCTCAAACTGGTATGATTTTCCATGATGGCAACTTCTGTCACTGCACAAATGATTTAAAAAAAAAATCCTTTATATTTAGTTAACGATCCATGGCACCCCCAATGAGAGATGGGGCTCACTGGTAAACCTCACTAGAGTACTCATCACAGCTGCCCATCAGGCATAATCACTATACAGAAGGTACACATCCCACTTCCTCAAGCCCTAGGTATAGACACAGCAGGAGTGGTCCAAAGCTCCTCACATCCCTTATATCGCCCCTTTTTTTGATGATATTGATCCCACATACCATCTCTTGTTTCAGACCTTAACCTCTGCATATCAGCTATTCAATAATGCTTTCCTGACCACTTTGGAAAACGTTGGTTGTGTGTTCCTCATGTGTCAAACTCACAACCACCATTTGTGGTTTCATCCATTGTTTTACTAGATTCTTTCACTTTGCCATTTCTTAATTGTTCAAAGCCAAATGTCTCTACCACTCTTTATCTCTCCCACATCTCTCTCACTGCTATCACAGACTGCTTTAACTCTTCATGAACACACTTTGTGGGCACACTAGAGTCTGTAGACCCTAATAATACCCTAACTATTACTATCATCCAGCCCCTATGTCCATACATTCACAACGCCTAAGTTATCTGTGACACTCAACTATTGTCAACGTTGTCTACCTGCCGGGCAGTCTTGGACTTGTGCTCCGGTGTTGGTGTTCCTTTTTCCAATGCTAGGGGCGGTACCCAGTGAAGAACCCTTGCCAGTTGTCATCACCACGTTTATAGCAGCATGACATGAAAAACGAATGATTCGGGTCATACCCTTTCTAGCAGTCCTGGGCATAAGTGCTGACGTCACCACTGGAGTGGCAGGACTGACTACCTCCCTAGCTATTTACTGTGGTTTCCCTCTGTTTATCCAGAATCTCCAACGAGTTGCTCAGACCATCCTTACCCTGTCTCAGAAAACGAACAACAACAAAGACGTGAGCTCTCACTAGTCGTAGTAGCACATGCCTTTAACCCCGGGGGCCTGGCCCTAGGGAACCTTGTAAATTTCAGCTTTCACAGACAAGTAAAGTTTGTTTACTTCCCAAATTTCATGAAATTTCCCCTTCTTGAAAATAGTTCAGCTCTAAGAGAAGTGCATAGAACACTAAGTTACATCAACAGCCTGCCCAGATTTTCTGTTTTACTGTGTTCTGGTCTTGTTTGTTTGTGGAGGTGGCTGGGTGTTGTTTACAATCATTAAAAACAAACCCTCCAAAACCTCAGATTTGCCAGTGTTGAGTGTTATTGAAAGAGTCAGGCTAACCTCCTAACCTCACAGAGATAAAACCTGGTAAATATGGTTATAAATACCTATTAGTTTTTGTAGACACTTTTTCAGGATGGGTAGATCCCTTCCCCACCAAGCATGAGACAGCTTCCATGGTGGCTAAGAAGATACTGGAGGAAATCTTCCCTGGGTTTGGGATTCCACAGGTAAT